TATGGTATCTCTCATCCTGCTCTCTCTCCTCTATTCTTCTCCCAACTCAGTATTTCTGAACCTCCATTTCCTCTCCTCTACTCCTCTTCTCTTGCTCTTATTGTAGCAGCTCCTTCCCCCCTACTCTCATGATCCCAATTAGTTCAGGAGTTCATGCCACCACTCTGGAAATCAGTATGGCGGTTGCTCAGAAAAATGGGAATCCGTCTTCCTCAAGATCCAGCCATTCCTCTCTTGGGTATATACCCAAATAGTGCATACTCATACAACAAGGACATATGTTCAACCATGTTCAGAGCAGCATTGTTTGTAATAGCCAGAACCTGGAAGCAACCTAGATGCCCCTCAACTGAATAATGGATTGAGAAAATCAGGCAAGCTTTAATACTAAAATATATCAACACAAGTAGTTAAGGCTGTATTAACTAGTTTCATATGGAATCCTCTGCTTGTCTGTTAGACATTAGCCTCCTTCTATGTTCTACCATCTTCAAAAAAGGAAGTGGCCAGGGATGTACTTGCCACACTAGCATCTGTTCTTTCAGTCCCCGTGACTTCAGACACTAACATGTTTTCCATGTTCTCCTTCAAAGTCCTTCTTACTCTTCTCTAGATTTTCCATGTGTCTCTAAGACCAGGTACCACACACTGTATCTGGATGCTACAACAACAGTATAATTTATCACACAAGAACAGCAGGGTTAAATCTATCAGGTGACAGAAAGGGAATGGATACCATAGGGGGGTGTGACTGTCAAATTATTACATATGTCTCTTTAGGAATAATTCCCTCCAAAATGCCTAAACTTGATGGATCATTTTCACAACACGGTAGGGAACAGGTAAATTCAATGTCTGACCTCATGCTCCCTTCAAGGGAACTGATACTGTGAAATACCCAGAACTGGTTCAGACTTCCCAGGGCCCACATCAGGCATTCTGTGTCTACTATTCTACTGGTTGTATTCATACACGATGAATTGCTGTCATGTCCCTGCTCTGGTTTGAAGGATCTGTCTGTTTAAATTTGTAGTTTTAGTGCTGGGAGCTGTAGTTGGGCAATTGTGGTGTTGCTACTAGAAGCCCTTCAGTTGAGACCTCTCAAGGCATAGTCCACCTTACATGAAGGGGGAGCCGGTCTGTAAAGCCTGCCTCAGTAGTTCTCCACTAGATGAGCCCTGCTCCTGTGGATGATACAGCAGGTAGATGACCCATAGTATGTCTCAGTCATTAGCTCATTGTTATGCTTCATGGCTTGTGAATTAGGTGCTTTGGTCACTTTCTATTATTTGAAGGGTTTATACCTCAAGTGCAACCTAGTAAGTCCTGGTTTTGTTGTCTTTTAGGTGGCTCTTTTACTGGGAAAATAAT